AATGAGTCAGCCATTTCCTGTCCCCAAATTCAAATTCACTTTGCTTTTCTGAAAACATGATTCAAGCAATCCAACAATAATTTAATTGGCTGCTCTGTACACTGGAGGCCGACCAACATATAAACAAACACCAGGGACGTACACACAGGCATCCAGGCGTCAGCCATCATTTTGCTGATAATCTTCAGAACTTTCTACTTACATAATCATAAAACACTAGATTACACAGGGCAATGGGGAAGAAAGTTTGTTTTCTATGTAAACTTCAACTTCTGTCATTTAATGTATGATACATACCTTAAATTTATGCTAGATCTGTCCATTGAGAAAAGTATGTTGAGTACAAGGTATCTATAACACAACAGCCTATCAGCAAGATGCTTTGGAGGACCTCTGGTCTGAAGGAGCAGAATCATATTATATGTAGCTGACAAGCTTTAAATGGTGGTACTCAAGGTGAATGTCAGCTAGATCCAGACTCCTGTGCTGCAGGCTCTCTTAGTCCCTTTCTGTTTGATACATTTGTAACAGATAAAAATATGAAATATAAGTTTATTTCTCTGTGGATGGCATACTGCTGAGATAATTAAAACAATATGGATGATAGAATCAGGAGATGGGATTCAACGTGTTGATCTAACAGGCCAGCTCCAAAGATAAAACCCTATGGGATGACCGCACTGACTTGCATTTTGCCTAGACAAAAAAAAAAAAAAAAAAAAAAAAAAAAGGCTTATAATTTTAAAGCAAGGAATGATTGGTGAATATGGAAATCAGTAAGAAAATGAGTTTTAGAAATTTTAAGTCTACAGTCAGTTAGTGCCTCCATTGTTTTTAGTCGGGCTACACTCTAAATACTAGGTTGATTTTGAAAAACACATCTCAAGAGTGATAGAAACAAAGTAGAAATTATAAGGAAATGGAGAATGAATGGAAGAGGATGAAATGGCAGGCCTACTTGACATCAGAGTGAGACAAGTACCTTACAGATGTCTTCAAATAGTTTGGCATCTGTCATTGAAAATCTTACCCCAAATAGTAAAATGCAGAAGAAAATTTCATACACATTTGAAGGAATCTCAACAGAAGAGGTTTTTCTAATCATCAGATGGCCCAGAAAGAAGATAGACATCCTTAAAAAGTAATTCTCTCACTAACAATAGAATTCTGGGTACATTTAAATTATTTTAAAATGTATTTGTGGGCCAGTGAGATAAAGGCTCAGCAGGTGAGTGCATTTGCTGCCAAGCCTGAGTACCTGGATCCATCCCAGAAACCATATGGTAGAAGGAGAGAATAGACTCTTCGAGCTGTTCTCTGACCTCCACACATGAACCATGTCATGCAGCATTCTACATGCACATCTATATATATACACATATATATGCATAAATAAATAAATAAATAAGTGCAATTTTAAAGCAAGTAAATAAGTAAAATATATTTGCAAGCACTACTTCCATTTGAGGAATTATGTTGACCCCTGTAAATACAATAGTGAAAAAATAAAATACTGTCACTGCTTCCATCTGAGATAAACTAAATACCTAAATACTTGGACACTTAGACTACTTACAATGAAAGAACTTGTGGAGAATGTATAATTCTAAAGATGGTCAAGAGAGGAGTTTTTAAGTATACAGAGATTGTATGGGAAGTTAGAAAAAGGTCTTTTCAGGAATCACCATCAATGTAAGGGTGTGGATACTAAGTAGGGTTTGGCCAGATAAAGAATGAGGAAAAGGAACAAAGACTGTGGTGGACCTGGGATCAAGGGAGTGAGCAAAGGCAGGCAGGAGTGGTGAGGCAGGAAGTTAGGAAAACATGCTCTGGAGGAGAACGTTAACCAAAGGAAGTGGAAGTATTGGAGGGTTTTAGTCAATGAAGTAACATCAATACTGGTGTTTTTAGTTCATTTTGGCTGCAGTGCAGAAAAAAGATGGGAGTAAGAAAGAACAGGATGGAGAATGAGCCATTATGTCCTGGAATAGAGAGATGTGTGCATTGAGGCATGGAGTTGCATTCAAGACGGGAGAATTTCCAAAGGCATAAACCTCACAAGATCTGGTGTTCAACTATAATAGTGCATGGGAGAAAAGGAGGAGTCATTGGAGACCTCCAATCTCAGGCAGATGGAAATACCACTTTCTTTGAAAGAATAGGAGAAGAGAAAGAGATTTGGTGTGGAAAACATCATGTTCAAAACTGACCTTTTGATGCTTTCGGCACAAATCCCTTTCCCTCTCTGTCCTACATGGTGCAAAGACTCAAATGAACGGGCTGTTATCATAGACACCTCCATCTACGTGCAGGCAGATGAGTGCAATGGGAAAATATCAGTCAGTTTGTAGGGAGGCAGCAGTGCTGTTGACAGGTGGGTCAGGAAAGCAAGGTCTTTCTGAGGATATAACACCAGCACATCTATGTGTCTGATGCTTAATCTTGATTGCCAGCCAACTTGATGGGATTTAGATTCACCACAGAAGCAAGTCTCTGTATGCCTGTGAAGGACTTTCTAGATTGGGTTTATTAAGTTGGGTAGATTCACCCTAAATGTGCATGGCACCCTTCCATAGCTTGAGGTCCTTGAGTAGTGCAAAAAAGGAAGAAAGCTCAATAGCAGTGTTCATCATTCTCTGCTTCCCAATAGTGGGTGCGATATGACCAGCTGCCTCCTGCTCCTGCTGACATGCCTTCCCCACCATGGTAGACTATATTCCCTAGAACATAAGCCAAATAAGCCCTTTATCAATGTAATTGATCCTTGTCAGATATTTGTAACTAATATAAGCTACTGAGGAAAGAGCATTCTGGGTGCAGACAAGAAGTTCTGGGTGCAGACAAGAAGGCAAAGGCACTGAGAGGGAAGCGCTAAGATTAGAGATAAGCACTGGAAGGTCATCAACATGTTATCTCTATTATATTATCTCTGTCAGTGTGTCTGTTAAAAGAGAACACAGAAACAGCTTTAGGCCTTCCCTTTTGCAACTCCATATGAAACCCTCCCCTGATCCCAACAATTAACATGATCCTGTTTCTTTTTTTTTTTTTTTAGCTTAAAATCTTGTATCTTAGCAATTTAAAAAGCAAAAATTAACAGCCTTAAGAGATAGGATAGTTATCTATTTGAAGGTTAATTGGAAACTTCATCTCTCCTGAGCTTGGGCTCTACATCCAGTAATTACTCAAACAACTGAGAGAGGAGGACTGAGTCTACCTATTTTATTTCTTTATTTTGGTTTTCTAACCATTCACTGACTCCTTCATGAAACCACCACTGACTTTTCCTTGGGGCACATTTTTTCAAGACTGTTTCACCTCCATTGCTAAACTTTTTTTACTCTCACTAATTGCATGCTTCACTGCAGTTTGAAGAAGGTTACACTCCAAAGCTTTGTTTAACCATCTGTCTTAAGATTCACTCTTCTAATGTGCTCACAATGTACCATATGTTAACATTGCTCAAGTCTGTCCTCAGCTATTCATTTCTAGCTCTGTGGGACAGATACACTGAGGAAAACACGTGGATTTCCCTTTTTCTTTTATTATAAGCTGAAGACTCACAAAGATATCCATTGGCTGTAAATGAGAATCTAAGTGAATTGGATTGACACCCTGATCCTTTCTTGAAAAGATGGCCGCACTGCACTGTCTTAACATTTAACTCATGACCAAAAATGATTATTTTTGAAGAACAATCTCAAGGGGCTTGAAAGTGTAAGGTTATGTAATTTTTTTTTCAGTAGACCTAACTTCCCTAAATGCTAGAATCCCACATTCTTAAGATATTTGAGAGCTAAAAATAGTGACTACCATGGGCCCTAGGGCTTTAAGATTTTCCTTTAAAAATAATGTAATTAGTCTCTAAGGACATGAGAACAACACTGCTTTATTTAACTTAAACTAACCCAAATTAGAGCAGAAGAAATACTTCATTGTTGCCCATTCATGCCCAAACTGATGTGTCTTGCAACAAGGAAATATCTTTAAAATGACTGCACTGATCTTTAAGCAAAGATGCCTAGTAACTTCAATAATTAGTTTGGTATAAACTACACTACTGATTATTGTATTATTCACCCATTCTTGCACACAATAGACATGATATTTTATAGCTGCACACTATAGACATGGTTTTTTATAGCTGCACAGAAAGGAAGTAGCTATGGGTCCATTTATATGCCACCTTCCTGAAAAGTCTTCAAATCTAGGGAGAATATGGAGTGGACAAATGTCACTCCCAGTTTACACATCTCTCTGAACTCAAAGGAAGCTGCTGGGCTGACTTCTGCACTCATCAGAGCTGAAGGATTGCAGCATGGAGCCTGAGCCACAGCAGGGGTGCTGGCTGTAACAGAAGCTACCCGGCTGGCAGACCCTGCAGTGTCAAGAACGTTTCTGTGGAGAAGGAAAAGAAGCTTTCCCGGAACTGGTGTTGGCCAGAACACTGATACACTTAGATGTTAGTTGGCAGTTCCAATTTGGACAAAAAGTTCCGGGAAATGCCAGGAACTGAAGCAGCATTCTTAGATGTGACTTCAGCCGCTGTTGCAAGTCCAGCAAATGGCTTAGAGCTGCCAGTGATAGATACAAGGCCATGGAGGCAAAACTACATTAGAGTCCCACTTAATTCAAGTTCTGCTTTGCTTAAATCAAGAAAATATTCTAGCATTCATGTGCCCAAACTAACAGGAATAATTAGAGATTATAAAAATATTTCTTCAAAGGAAACATGTGAGGAAAAGTCAAAGAAAAATATTATTTTGGAAACTGATTTTCTGAGCTAAGAGTTTAAGACTCCCTAGTTATCAATTATTCAACTGCCTGTTTTTACCCTTGATGAAATAAAGCTTCAGATAGGTAAAATAGCTTCCTGAAAGCCACACTGTGGAGTGGTAGAGTTGAGACAAGAGCTAGCCTTATGAGGAAACAGAATATCCTTGAGGACTGTCAGTCTGCCAGTCCTGACACCACACAGGGAAATGCAACCTGAACAGTACCTTTCATGGTGGGTGCTGTGTACACGCTCTGCTTCCTTTGCTTGGGGGATGCATTCTGCGACTGTGGACAAAGGACAGTGAAAGCTTTAGATATGCATAAAAAGTACACTGTTGTCAGATATGTGACAAATAAAATTGCATCAGGTTTCAAAGGGCTTTCTTATGTCCCCAGTCAAGAAAATGAGCTCGAGACAAATATAGACAGGTTCAATGATATCATAGGTTTCAGAAACTTATAAAACCAAAGGGTCTTCTTATTACCAAATTGTTCAGCTGTTGGAGATTTGAAATTGTGTTTTTAAGTTTGAATTATTAACATTCTTTTAATATTCTTATTACATATATTTGTTTATGGTGTGTACATATGTGTGAGTGGACATACGCCATGACACGTGTGGCCATCAGTGGACACATGGTGGGAGCTGATTCTCTCCTTCTACCATGTGAGTTCTGAGCATCCAACTTCAGGTGTCAGGCTTGACAGCAATTGCCTTAACTCACTGAGCCATCTCACCAGTCCCAATATTAGTTTAAAGAGAGAAAAAGACATTAATCCTTTTCAAGTGCAAGGAAAACATGAGTTTTGAGACAAACTACCCTTCAAAAAATATACCAATCAGATAACATTCTCAGCTCCTGTAATTAACCAGGAGTTCAGGAGGAATAATGAGGGTCCTTGGTAAGTAAAAGCAATACATAACCTTCCTGAGTTGACTTGTTCAATTTAAGCTCTGCTTTTACTTGAAGTGACAATGTTTAATACTCTTCTGTTTGTTAAAAGGTAAGTCCTTTCCTAACAGACCTGCATAACACTGTTACCTAAGCACACTAGATCAGGACAGAGCTAGAAAGTTCATATTTTAAAAATGATAAAAAGATGACCGTATTTTAGTGACAAAACCTATATTATTCTAAAATAATATGGACCCGTGTATGTATTATGGATATTATGTAGCCTAATTATAAACATAATCCATTCAACAGATTGTGCCCAAATGACTCTTTTTCACTATGTGAGAGGCTGTAGCTCAGTGGTTGCCTAGCATGCAATGAAGCCCTGGGTTTGATCCCCAGCACTGTATAAACCAGAGTGTAGATGCACATATCTGTCATTCCAGCACCAGGGAGGTGGAAGCAGGGGGATCAGAAGTTCAAGGCTAGCCTTTGCTACCTAACAAGTTTGAGGTCAGCCTGGAACACATGAGACTTTTTTTTTTTTTGGTCTCTTTGAAACAGGGTCTCCCTGTAGCTCCAGCTGTCCTGGGACTCAATACATGAGACTTTTTGTCAAAAGAAAAAAAATAAAATACAACATATTGATTTATATTTTAATGTGACAAGAAGGGGTCCTAATCAAGGAGTTCAAGTGTCTGCAGTGATGATTTTTGCTGTGAAAAGTTCAAGTATAAATAGTTACAATATATTTGAGGGTTGGTTTACACTTTCCATGCTCAAGAAAGAACATGATGCATAGAGTTTGAAAGAAATTAGAAATTGTTTCATAAGGTTTTAAATTTATTTGAGGCATGTTTGTGCAAACGAAAGTTTAACTGTCCTCAAAAATCATCATTCAGATGTTGCTCTTCACTGGTAAAAAAGATATCTATCAAAAATTAAAGGTAAAAATGTAACAGTACTCAAATGCCTAGCAAATGAGCAAGCAGAACAAGCAATTGCTTTTTCCTTCATGTTGCGGCTCAAATCCAGGGTCTCACATGTGCTAGGCCAGCTCTCCACTGAGCTACACACCCATCCCAGAACAGGCTTTGGAAAAGAATCCATTAGTACCCAGTCTGTATCAATGTTAGCTGTGGGCATGACTGACATGTCTAGGGCACTTCCCTTGTTTCAGGCATGTCAGGTTGGTCTTGATGAGCTACCACCTCCGGGAATTCTTATGTATCATTTTCCATATACACACTCTAAGATCAAGTAGAAGATACATTTTAGAAGTGCTTTATTGTTTTTTAGCGGGATAATGGTAAAACGTAAACAAAAACTATTTTATGCGAGAACTTTGTTTCCAAAGAAATTTTGCATTTATTTTCTCAGTAAATTTTTTAATGTTTCGTGAGATGCTATTTGGTATGTTGCATCACCTACAGTTCCCTCTTTGGGTTGTCTGCTTACCTGTGTGGTCATGAGACTGGCTTGTCTCGACAGGATCTCAATTCTATGCTTGCTCCATTATAAGGCCACTTTACCATCTTCGTATTTACATGCTCTAACAGATCTCCTAGTGTCTCCGACCTCCTACCTCCTATCCATATTTCTTGTGTATAGGTGGACTGAGTAGAAGATAACAGTGTTCAGTCTGGTGCTGAGTTTGTATCTGAACCCATTATTTGATGAACCCATTAGTTCTCATTACCCAGGCTCTAGAGGACTTCAATCTCCCCAGCTGCCGCAGGATGAGCTTCTGCTCTAAATAGTTGAAGATGTTTAAGAGGTGTCTAACACTTGTCTCTATCTCTTTTCTCCAGAATTCCATCATTGCCTGGCCCTTGCTTGTGGTGTTCATATACAATCACCCATGAAATTAAAACTATCAATACAACATCTTACCGCTAAAATCAATGCTTTAATTTTGGAAGTTTTTGCAGGGGTTAGAATTTCATAGAGACTCGAGGTAACTGAGAGACAGAGGTTTTAAGGATATCATTTTGCTATCCAATCAGGAAAAGCAGCCTAAATGCTCTTTACATCTCAGTGACATTTATTTAAGACATATTAAGTGTCACATCAGATCAAGGAAAATGTGTTTTTTATTTTAACACATTAAAACAAAATATAGGAAAACTTACTTCTTCTTGTGTGTTGTTCACCCTTTTGTCATCTATTTCTGAAAGAGAAATTGGTATAATTCATTAGAAGTGCAATAGTCTTCCCTGTCTTGTATGCTACCATTTTTATTCACGTACATCAAAATATTTCAGCAGTTGCCATATACTTGCATAATATCTGTGGAGCACTGCTGAGAAGGATAAGAGACAGAAGCAGGTGGCTCCTGAGAGATTCTTCCCTCAAAAGTTTATGAAAACACAATGAGAAAGCATTTCTCTTGACACCCCAGATTGCCAGTCTTCTAACAATCCAGAAAGGGGACCAGGGAAATGACTCAGAATGACTGGTGCCATCAGTCCCTCTGCATGGTGGTTTGAATGAGAAATGTCCCTCATAGGCTCAAGATTTGAACATTTGGTCCCCAGTTGGTGACGCTGTTTAGGGGTGTCATGGAATTCGGGAAATGTGGCCTTGCTGGAAGACGTTTGTCCCTGGGGGCTGCTTTGAGAGTTCATAGCCTGGCCTTTCCAGTTTGTGCTCTCTCTGTCTCATGTTTGCTGTTAAAAATGCAACCAACCAGCTTCCTGCTTCTGCTTCCTTGCCTGCTTCTTGTTGCCAGGCTTCTCCCTGCCATGATGGACTCTCCCTCTGGAAGCATAAGCCAAAATATACTCTTCCATAAGTTAACACATTAAACTTATGGAAGGGAGTGCCATGGCACTCTATCACATCAACAGAAAAGTAACTAATATACCTAGTGTAAAAGCATAGTCACCCTTCCCTTTTAATTGGTTTTCCTGCATCTGCCACTAACTGTTGGATGTAAGCCTTTCAAATTTCTTTGAGTCTGTCACTGACAAGCCCTGCTTTCCCTGTCAGTCTAATCTCTACAACTGCTAGGAAGGCAGCACCCTCCCTTCCATGTGCCCCTGTAAGGACCAGTTCCTCTGTCAAACCTTTCTTATGATGGGACTCAGACACCTTCTTCACAGGATGTTTAGAGGGTTTGGAAGAAGCGTTTGGCAGATGCCCACATCTGCCACTTCCACAGAGACCTGCCCTGGGCCATATTCTTTCTTTCTTCCTCACTTACTTTGCATAGATTTTGTCTCTTGACTTTTTGACCTGGTTATGCTCTCCTCTTCGTTATGTTAGTCCTCAAACTAAAAGACTGACTCAATGTTCCAAAACAAAATGAATTCATTAATGAAGACCTGCTTGAAGATCAGTATTTACATCTGTACTAATTGACATGAAAATACACACTATGCAGGTGGAAGCTATCAAAAATGTATGCATGGTGTTTTTATTTACAAAGGATTCATAAATGCAAATGGAGACATACATACCCCCGTGCTGATGAACACCTGCGTGCCACCTGTAGTTATCTCTGGGTGACTGTATAGGAAGTTCTGCTTTATTCTTATCTGTTTTATTTATTCTTTCTTTCCTTCTTTCCTTTCTATTACCAGACTGAAACTAGGGTCTTGTGAATGCTAAGCAACCTCGCTACCACTGTGCTTTTCCCAAGCCCTTTGTATTACTTTTTGTAATGGGTATACATTTCTGATAAACAAAAGCAGTGCATATATATGTATTCAGATATACATCTACATGAGTAAAGGTATTACATAAATGAAACCATACATGGTCTGCATTTCATATAATAAGAGATAAATGGTCAAAAAGCCTGAGTGCAGAGTATATGGATCTACTGCTTATGCTAATCTGACATTTGGGGCTTTTAGACTTTTTAAAGGTGTAGAAACTTCTAATGAATCCATCTTGGTGAAGGAAGGGCAACAGAATGTTATTGGTTTGGGCCAGCAATAAGAACTGTTATACTGAATCATTGCAGTTACTTACTTCAATATCAAGCAACTATGAATATACTAAATGGAACAGTTTGATGTATCACTGTGGGACATCTTTCCATCCCATTTTAATTAAATATCAAATATGATACACTATAAAATGCATACACTGTGATCAACTGGAATGTTAAATGACTGAAACACTCAAAATTGTTTTATATTTTAGAGCTTTTAATCTTCAACTCAGTATTTAATCTAATATTTTAAGAACAAAATGAAGCCTAAGGATTCACTTTGCACATTTTATGTTATCTCACAACAACAAACATTAAAATAGTATCATTCCAAGGCAGCTATAAGAACTATACTCACTGAAAAATCTCAGTGAAGATAAATTGTATAGTTTTAATTGAGTTGTATTGGCAAAAATCAGCTATATTGTGGAAGGAAACATTGAGAAAACTCAATCCTGTATTCCTAGCTTGAAATGGAAGAATAAAAATTAAAAAAGCTTCAATTCAAAGTAACTCAGACAAAAGTGCAAAGAAAGCCCCAAATAGCTCATACTTTCCTGAAACTGACCGGTAATTTCTTTTCCTTAATAGATTGTTATGAATTGAATAGATTAATCTTTTCTGACTCCTTAACACCTTAAATAAACCTACAATACATGCTCATAAGGCAGATTTACAAGGAAAATAGATATAAACACAATGTTCTCTATAATTTGTACTATGGAGTTGTAACCAACAAAGGATACACAAAAAAGTACACACAAATCTCACCAGCTCACTGCATCAGCCAAATGACATTTATAGTATCTGTATGTTCTCTTCAAGGCTACAATTTATGATCCCCATGGCCAACTTCAGCAATTTTCAGGAATGCTGGATCCCCAATAAAAGTGGAAACAGATCCCTGTATTCAAATATTGTTTAGCTTTCTCATGAAACCAGAAAAATTATACTACTTTGGGGTACAGTTCAACAAAATCAGTTAACTGATGAGATGTTTGATAGCTGATTATTCATAATTAAAAGCTACAAAATTTCAGGGAAGTCATACCTACTTTAGTTTTACTTTAGTTCGATTTTTTTTTCTTCTTTCAAAAGGCATCAGAAAGAAGAAATTCCTTGCTTTGAGGCTGGGACTGCAGCTCTGTTGATAGAGTGTGAACACAGCAAGCACAAAGCGCTGGGTTTAATCCCCACAAACCAGGCAGGCAGCACGTATGAGGCTCATGCCTATATTTCCAGTACTCAGAAGGTGGAGACAGGAAATAAAAACTTAAGAGTCATCCTTAGCTACATTACAAGTTCAAGGCTAGCCTGGAATACACAAAACTCTCTAATAAAAGAAAAAAGAAAAGAAATTCCTCTTGAGAGAAAAATGTAAAAAGTCATCATTTAGTCATCAAAAGTATAACATTTGAAAGGACATTTTCACCACTGACGATGCAAATTAGACACATGTTTTAGGGGTCTTAAGTATTGATTAGTCAGAAAGTTCTCATTATTTTTAAGATCATGAAAGGAATAGCACAAATTCAGGATCTGTGTGGATGCATACAGCTGCGAACACCAGTCATCTGATGCTCTTGAAGCACCAATGAGATCTCATGAGGCTTTAGAAAACTAGCTGTAACATAAAATTTGTGCTTACACAAGTAATGTCTAAGAACGAAGGGATTGAGGAAGACCACATTTTAAAAAGTCTCTGAACTGTAACAGAATAATAGCTGCAAAAACCAAGAAATAGGTAACATATATTGAGTTATAAAAATAAGGAAAGTCCAGGGCTGTGGTTGGTGTTGGCAGCAGAACTTGCATCTTGGACAAAACCACTGGAGAGCCTTTCATTTCTAATATAATTCCTCCATTTTTCTGTCACAACCACACACAAATCACTTAACCTTCCTGAACTTCAGGGTACTCTTAACCATTCTTATTATGCCTTCCTCATTTTCTCAGAAGGCTATTTTGAGAAGTAGAAAAAACGGAACATACTTTTCCTTAAGTATGGACTGTCTTTAGAAGAGCACTGAACGGAAAAAGAAGGGAGAAAATGAGATTTGTACTAGGGAAACTTGATGAGTATTAATTCATTTGGATGATCAATGCCAGTATCATCTACCATACAGCCTGCTGGTAATTTGAACCTTTGTCATATATGATGAAGACAACACTTTTTCTCACTGACCTTCCTCTCTAAAACCCTTAAGCCCAGAACTGCCATGAGAGAAAGACATCAGACAAAACCCAATGCAGGGACATTTCACAAAACACCTGAACTACACAACTCAGAATTGTCAAGGTCATAAAGAACAGAAGAAAATCTGGGAAACCAATTTAAGAAGAGCCAAAGAAATGTTGCTACGAGAATTGGGATATTCCAGACAGGACTACAAAACAGATGAAGCACATTATATAGGAATTAAGGAAATCCGAATAAACTTAGAGACTTTAGTCAATACCAATCAACAGTAAGTCATTAATTATAACATAAGGAAATCTGAATAAACTATAGGCTTCAGTTGATAATACCAATCAACACTGAGTCATTAATTACAACAATGTCACACTGTAATGACTAATGAAAGGTGATCATAATAAGGGAAATTATGAAGAGGGAATCTGTGGTGTTCGGTGAGCTCTCTTCTCAAAATTCTCTTGAAAATCAGGTCTATTAGTAAAAATTTAAGCAAAAACAAAAATAGAAAAACATCAAATGCAATTAAAAATCACCCAAATAATAATTTTTTAGTATTGTCAGGATTTTGTGTATCATCTGAAGACACCAGAGTCATTATATAAATGACAATAAAACTGAAAACACGGTCATAAAACAATATCATTTGTTAAAATGTTATGTGAAACTAATTAAAAAGACAAAGAACAGGGGCTGGAGAGATGGCTCAGTGGTTAAGAACACTGGTTATTCTTGCAGAAGACCAGGGTTCAAGTTCCAGCACCCACATGGCAGCCAACAACTGTCTGTAACTCCAGTTCCAAGGGATCTGACAGCCTCTTCTGTCCTCTGAGGGCATTGCATGACACGGGTGCACTTACCTACATGCAGGCAATACACACAGACACATAAAATAAAAATAAAAATAATAAATAAAAATTTTTTTTGAAAAAGATGAAAAATGTAGGAATATACTTGTAAAGGTTTTTAAATTTCAGTTGATAATGTTGAAAGCTGCTTTATGTAAAAAGATGTATTCATGAAAAAATGGGTTAAA